TCTTCTTCGAAGGGAAAAGGGCCGACATGACTGCAGTGCATCACATCACTATTTTACACACTATGATTTTCTTGGGATTTGTATTCTGACATTATTATGACTTGTTTTGAGATATATGAATTATGGTTTTTATGATATTAGATAACTCATCGATGTTTTCGATAATCTGTTTTATGAATTATTAAATTAGAAATGAAATTTTTGGTCTTGGATTTTGGGATGTTAAAAGAGTGGTACATACTCCTTCTAAGATGGCGCAACAAACTTCCAAGTGGCTCATCTACTTCCCAAGGTGCCACATCGAACTTCTAGATGACGCGTCTACTTACTAGACAACACATCCTCTTTCATGGACGATACATCATCTTCTTAAGTGGAGCACCTACCAAAAATTATGTATCCTTGAGTCATTGAATATCAGTGATGCTCTATTCCATTCTCAGATGCTCTATTCCCTTTGTAGGTGCTCCAATCTATTCTTAGGTGACTCGTTCCTTTCTTAAATGCCCCATTCATTTCTCACATTATCCATTCCTTTAGCAGGTGTTTCATTCCTTTCCCATGTGTTCCATGTTCTTTCAAGTGCTCCATTGAACCCAAATGTTCCAAATGCTCAAGTCATATTTAACAATTTAATTTTGTGAGTCGGTTTACTCATTATATAGACATGGTAAATCATTACTTCAATCAGATCTATATTTCAATGAATCCTACACAAAACTAAGAGTTCCATAGTGACTAGAATTGATATAGAGTTTTACCTACATGAATAACTTTTCATTTTAATTACGACAAACCTATTCACAACTAGAAGTGAAATATAGATATTACCCCTTGATAATTTTTTTTTATCAAAGGTACATCATAGATGGTATCAAATAGAGACGAATATAATTAGACTATATTTAACATGCTAGCTAAAAAGATAGTTTTTAGCTTATAATAAAACTAGCTAAAATAGTTTAAAAGCTACAATAAACTATTTTTATGATCTTATCAAATACTTCCCCGTCACATATTAATAGTCCATATTTTTTTTTGCTTTGTCCTAAAATAATAGTTTAGTTCTAAAAAAAATATATGTTTTACTAAAATACTCATTATTATTAATGAACCTGCCTTGAGATTAAATGTAACAAAAAGATAAAACTGTTATTTCATTTAATAAAGTTAATGATAATTAATATTTTGTTAATCTGTGTGTTTTTTGTCTGTGAACCGTAATTTTTGAACATAAAGAATAATAAAAAATTTAAATATCCTTGTACTTATGTTTATATTTATAAGTGGAATCTAATAATTTTTTTTAATCCTTTTTTAGATTTTGACACATACATTGATCGGGTAATCAGGAAAATAGATAGAAAGAAAAAGGGAAAAGATATTTGATTTCTTCAAATAATAAAGTATAATAAACTAAAAAAACTAAAAAATTAAGTGGATTAATAAACATCAAGTAAAGCCTTAATAGAGATCAGAGAGTGGGCACGATTCGGCCAATTTTCTAGATAGGCTTCAAAATGAAGGTACTTTTTATTTATTCAAAACAGGCCATCGACGAGTTTGGGCCTTGGGCTTTCAGATGATTTATAAAGTCTAAAAGAAAATCCCATAAATTTTTTTTTTTCATTATTTGTTCAAATCAATAGGGCCTTTGAGCTTTCACAAAATTTACATAATAAAAAGAAAAAGCCATAATTCTTTATTCTTTTTTTTTTTTTTTTTTTTTTTTTTTTTTTGTTAAAACTCAATAGTCATATTCAAATTCTCTAGATCTCGACCACATTTTTTTTTTTTAAATCTCTTTATATTTAGTATTCATTCTTTAATATATGCTATTTTATTTGCTCGATAGCAATAGAGTTGCCGTTGAATTTATTTGATCAATTTTATGCTATTTTAGAAAAAATTTAGTTGTTGTTTTAGACAATTTATGTGACTGTTGTTTTCTTAATTAATAACTAGAGTTTGTCATATAGTTTTTGTTTGGAATAAACGAGTTGGAATTAAAACAAGTATTATTATTTTTTTTAAATGTCCAAGTCGAGGCACACCACATACAATGTGTAGATCAAGATTTAAAATGATTTTGTTAAACCCTCTATGTAATGCGCTTTAAAGTTTTGACTTTAAACAACACAAAAGGCATTAGGAACACCCTTAATTATTGGACGTAATTTAACAATTTTCTTTTAGTAGAACATTTTTTTGTTACCGGTATTTAAAACTATTTTTGACTCTATCCTAAAAAAATATATAATTTAGTTCTTTTTTGTTTTTTAACCTTTAACATGTCGACATATTATGGATCCGCCTCTAATATCATGATATTAATAAAAACTTGTCGCATCTTCCCTTGGAAATTGGAATATCTAGTAAAAAATATAATTTAGTGTCTTTAAGCTTACACAAAACTCTAAATCATCATTACCTTTAATGATATTTTTGTGAGATTTGGATCTATCAAAGGATTTTGAATCATTTTTTTGGTTTGTACGATTTACTGAGCAATTGAAATCGACCTTTTTATGGAATCTTTGTTTTGTAAATCTATAAATATTTGCATTTATGTTGAATGAATTGTCACTTTTATTCATGCAAATATTATGTTTTATAAAAAAGATTATAAAAATAAAGTATAAATAGTTACAAAAGTAAATGTTCATTTGACAGTAAACAAATTTTATGAGACAAGGATATGCATTTATGGCTTCATATTTTTGGGAGTCAAAAATTTTAAAAAAAAAATGAAAAAAAAAAATTTATACTTTCAAAACTTTTTATTTCAATTTTTTTTTAAAATGAAACACATATAATATTCTACATATTATAATATCACTTGTTTAAAATATTACCCATAAAAATATATAATATGCAATATTCTACTATAATATTGTATTTATATATTAAATTAATCATAATATATTTTTATGAGCAATATTTTACAAACATTATGTTAAAATTTTAAGAATTATGATATATGGACATTGGTATTTCTTTTTTATTTTTTAAATGTAAATAAATATATATTTTTAGTTTTTCAATATTTTTAATTTTTGATTTTTGACATCTAAAATATATGGTCATAAACCACTGTCCACCAAATCCCACCTACCCAAATTATAATATAAGCAAATTACCTTTTTGTTTTTGTAACCGATAATTTCAAAACTTTTTAAGAACTATTTTAATATAATATTAAACTATAATCGTCATAATTCACTCATATTTTATCAAATCACAAAATCAAAATCCCAACACAACAAATATTACAGCAGTACATATAAAAAGTTTCAATACTATGCAACTACAACAGACCTATTTTTTTTAATTTTTTTTTAATCATACAACTAAAACAAACTTGTATTTGTTACATACAACAATGAAACCCATTTACAGTATATATTTCAAAAGAGAAACACTTGTATACTTTAATTCAAGAACACATCTTCATATTAAAAAAAAATATGTATCATCAAATGCACATGTACAAATGTACTTGTATGATTCACAACCGACAAACTTCACCTAAAACGATGCAATACATCTTATGAAACAAAAACATCAATTATTCATTCCATCCTTGTATAAAAAAAAGAGTCTAAAATAATTACAAGATTAATGTAATCAAAGAAACAACAAAATTAAGAAAAAAACTAGAAAACGAAACTTGTATATGAACAAAAACAGATTAACAATAGAATTATATCATCCATAAACAACCCTCCATCCGATCATCACGACTTATATAAGTTTTGTTGATGATAAGATCAAGAAAAGTGAACTTGTGCAATGAATATTACAAGCTTGAGAGTGAGGAAAACACAAAATGACAAACATTATGTGACAGAAGAACCAAAGTGGGAGGCTTTCAACAGAAGCTTCTTTTAAAAACTTTTCAGCAGGCTTTACCCAACATTCATATACGCATGCTCTCAATCTCATAGAAGTTGCAGCCACACCAACACCATAATCACCATGGTCACACCATGTGGGCCCCACATCAGTCAATAGTAATTGGTAACTTTTCTTGCATGCATCATGGGTGGTCCTAAAAAATAATGGTACGGTTCAAGACATCAAAGGTACAAAGAAATATGAATATGTTTCTCCAAAATCACAATGAGCTAGCTCACACAGTCTTTCAAAAGTATCACCTGATATGTAAATCAGATATACATATAAATCAAGTACATACTCTGATATGTAAATCAGGTACACAATAGTCTGCTAGATAAGGTACACCAATAGTCTGCTAGATAATTGACTGTCAACTTAGTGCTCACAAGGAGCCCTAAATCAAGTACACATTTGAGCATATTGTAATATGTAACTCAGGTACACAACAGTCTGTTATATAATTGTTACTGACTATCAACTTAGTGTTCACAGGGAGACCAATTCATATCGAAACTGAAACACCCACACTACAACTGCTACCTCACGTAAGAACCCAGTGCCCTCAAGGAGCTCACTGCTCATTCCACATTGGATTAAAACCTCTCACACTATGATTCCTAAGACTCGAACCCTGAAAGCCACCCTCAGGGTAAAGTAACCATGTTCACAAAAACAAGTTCAAGAATCGAAATGAATGACATAAACAACCTCATATCACCCCACCATGTTTTCAAGATCAATTTCTTTTAGCTAAATTGAACAAAAATTTGGTCAAACAATAGATTACAACACAATTTACATTAGAAGCACATGAACTTTTGATTAAGTTTAAATTATGTACTTTGAAGGCCAAACCATATGATTCAAAACAAAGATAATTACAAACATCTACAAGCCCAAAATCTTTATATTCACATTATGTTGCACAACGTCTATCATCTATCTTTTTTTTTTTTTTTTTTTTTTTTTTTTTCTAGTAACCTTTGAACTGGCCCACATGTAAGATCTAAATCAGACTACATATCTGTAATCTTTCACTAAAGAAAGCAAAACAAAGAAACAAAACTCATCACCATGAAAAACCAATAAAGATCTCATCACTACAATTGCCAATCCGTGCAATCATCAAAATCAAAACTACTTGCACAATCCAATAACGCGTTTTGTTGATGTTCATATCGACAAATATAATTCAACCCCACAAGAAGCTCACAAATGGCATTCTCTGTCTTATCTCGATCTGCAAAATACAAAGTTTGCAAAAGAAGAACATTTGATCTTGACATGATGTGTTGTTGTTCAAAGTTCCTCTCAGTTTGCCACCTAATCATGTTGTGTGCCATGGGTGCTAGCCATGATAGTATCCCATCAAGCCTGTCTTTCCAATCATGTGCAAGAGGGGCATCATAAATCGCTAAATTTCTTGAAAAAGACTTTAGATTTCTCTTTAAAACTAATCTTAAACTTTTTGGTAACATTTGATATAGATCATCTCTAGCTTCTTCTCCAACTAAATGAGGGTAGTGAAGTAATTTCTCAATCACGATGATAATGTTGGCATAGTGTAATGCTAAAGCAGAGCCTCCAATGGTGTTGGGAGGTGGTTTCACCATTAATTTGATCTGTGGAACAGTTTTATGAATCTTTATCAAATTACCATTACACCCCTGAATATTTGTAATCTCTTTCTTTAAGCTACTTGAAACGCTACAAGAACCAGAAACATGGCTGCTTTGATCATCGGTTACTGGAATAGATACAGATCCATCGTTGAAATCGTGTAATTTTGAAGTGTTCATGGTTAAACATTCCATAAACAGTCTCTTTGGTCCCAATCCACAAGCAAAATTGAAATCTTCGGCTTTGAAAAGATTCGTTTCCCCTTTTTTTGTTTGAATCTGTGGATTGACACTGACTATCTTCTTCTCCACTAAGCTCGAACTACAAGAACCACTAATTTGATTCGAGTTTTGAGCAGAACTTCTAGATGAATTTAACGTGTTGCTAGATGAGAACATCTCTCTTCGGGAAATTGAATCATTGAAAACTGAAAAGATTCGAGCGTAAAGAGTACATACAGTTCTTGCTAGCATCTCGACGACTTTATCGTAAGTTTGATTCCATAGTGAAACGTTCTTCAGGTGGCGAACATCTTGGATCTGCCAAATCAATTTCTGCTCGAAGACTTTTCTGCTTTCTTCGTGCTGGTTTTGTTGGAATTTTTTCGTTGTAATCTCTAATTCGTTCAAGACCTCCATTTCTCCGTAGAGAGTGGTTGTGGAATTAACAAAGCGCTCGAATTTTCGCATCATTGCGTCCATATCCTTCACCAGGAACCCTAATTCCGTAACATCCATGGCTGCACTGACTATATCTCTGTAAACATGTTGAAATCCTTGAAGCTGAGGGATTGTGCACTTCTTGCCGAGCCTGGAGACGACGCCGGCGATGAAATTCAATTCTTCTAGCTTCTCCGAAAGCGCGAGGTCTAAAAGGTAGGTTTCGTCGGAGGAGACTAGGGTTTTGACGCCATCGGAGAAGAGAATTTGGGTTTTCAACTTGGATATCTCTGAATTGGTTAAAGATTTGTGGAGTCGAACGGTTTTTGACATCACATTGGCAACCTCAAACGAGAGAATTCCGATTGTTTCCGGTGTTTTGCTTTGAATTTCTTGCTTGTTTCTGGTGGACTTTTTGGAAGAGGGTTCTAAGAGGAGGGCATGCTTGAGATTGGAACTCACATGGCTTCCAATTTTAACTAACCAAGGCTCGGCCACCATTGTTGTATCTGCTGAGATCACCAAAACTTAGAATTATATAATAAAATCAAAAACCCACAAAAATCTAGTCGGATCTAGTCAGAGTTTGAGTAATTGCATGTCATCAATGAGCAGAAATTTCTATGTAGTTCGAACGTTGTTCAAACGCGGTAACAATTCAACTCCCTTGACTTTGTGAATGGATGAAATTGTGAGATTTGGGAATTTGATTGATTGATGAAAAGTTATTGAATTTGTGGAGTGGGGTGGGAGGGAGGGGATATTTGAAAAAGGGAGATGACATTGAAAGAATTTCTAGATGTTACGTAATACGTATGCATCAATCCATTAAGTACCAATTGTCAAATTTCTTCTTTTAACCTACTACACCCTTTCCCATCTCCATTGGATGTTCCCTTCACAAATTATATGATTTAAAGATCTATTGAGCTTAGGTCAACCAAAAGATAGTAATTTTTTTTTTTTTTTTTTTTTAAATATATCGATATTTAACTAAGGTTTTCACTTTTCATGATTTAAAGAGGTATTGACCTTAGGTCGACCATATGTATAGAGATAATATTTTCTTTTTTCTAAATATATCAACATTTAACTGAGGTTTTCGAAACTTTCGAACCATGAACCATCATATCTGTAAAGTAATTTGAAAAAACATTGAATGTTTTCGAAAAGAAAAAAGAATATTACTGAAAATGTCAGTACAAATAACAGTCTTGTGTTTGATTAGTGTTCGGAAATGCAAAGAATATTTTCGAAATAACATAATTGTTATTAGTGTTGGAAATTGAAAGAAATATTTGCGAGCGAGAGATGGGAAATACTTTCGAACATAATATATATTATATATATATATTATATATATATATATATATATATATATATATATATATATATATATATATATATATATATAAACATGAAGAATACATAAAATGAAAGCAAGAAATACAAATTACTTAAAAACTGATTGTTAAGAGCAATCATCTATTTTTTTTCCTATGAAATTCTCGGTAGTTGTACAAGAACTTAAGTTTTTCTCGTTGATCTAGTCTTTTTTCATAATATCTATCTAAATGTCAGGGAAAATTGAGATCTGAATATTAGCACACCATGTGAATTTAGCTAATCAGTTTTTCGTTTAAGTTATTTCGTTTCGTTAAATTTGACATGATTTTAGGATCAAAATGGAGCATTCGGAAACACTACAAAGCATTCTAAATGTGGTGGAGCATTATGATGTAGGCTATAGCATTCTGATGTGGGGTAGAACATCCTGAAGATGCGCTAGAACCTTCAAGGATGCATTCATAGTCTTCCAGGACGTGTCCCCTTGTGGAGGATAGACTCGTAGTCTTTTACGATGTGTTACCTTACTGTTGATGTGTTTCCAGATGTGTCATCTTTTCGAGGATGTGCTTATAATCTTTCAAGATGTGCTACCTTGTTGTTGATGTGTTACTAATGTTATATGTACCCACTTAGAGCAAGATGTGCCCCATTGGATCAAGATATACCCATTTGGTAGCTAAGCGTGCCCTAATAGATATGCCAGGGCAAGCTAGGTACACTCATATATGCATGACAGGTAGTGTAACACTCATTGTTTAGGTAAATTTCTATTTTGACCAAAAGTAGAATTTGTTGGATTAATGTCTAAGTCCATAACTATAATTGGTAAGACTTGACCCGACCCGGCATGGTCCATTTGGGTTGCATGGCATCATGCACTTGGATAGACTATAATGAGAGAAATAACACTTAAGGTTGATTAATATATTATAAGTTCTAATATATTAATAGGATTATTTAATTAGTATTGATCAAGAATTAATTAAGTGATCAAAATATATGGGTTGATTGTGTAAATCATCCATACTTGTATAGTGGGCTAATGCTCCATGGATAATCAAGTTGGGCTAAAACCCATAGGATGGTGCATGGATGCTCCATGGTGTATTTGAACCCATGGATCCAAGGAAATGGAAGGTCATGACTATTAGGGTTTACCCTAATTGTAACAACTATACAAGATCATATTCTTTGGGAAAAACCGGTCACTATGAATAATAAGAAAGGGCTAGCCGATTTTAGGAGTGTTCAAGTTTCTCTCAAGTTATTCCAAGTGTATTTGGTGTTGTGTGAACCATTTGAGGTGTCACACTTGAGGCACTAGGCACTCAAGCTTCATGAAGACATTTTACATCAAAGAGGAGCATTCAGAAACACTACAGAGCATTCTAAATGTGGTGGAGCATTATGATGTAGGCTATAGCATTCTGATGTGGGGTAGAACATCATGAAGATGCGCTAGAACCTTCAAGGATGCATTCATAGTCTTCCAAGACGTGTCCCCTTGTAGAGGATAGACTCGTAATCTTTTACGATGTGTTACCTTACTGTTGATGTGTTTCCAGATGTGTCATCTTGTCGAGGATGTGCTTATAATCTTTCAAGATGTGCTACCTTGTTGTTGATGTGTTACTAATGTTATATATACCCACTTGGAGCAAGATGTGCCCCATTGGATCAAGATATGTCCATTTGGTAGCTAAGCGTGCCCTAATAGATATGCCAGGGCAAGCTAGGTACACTCATATATGCATGACAGGTAGTGTAACACTCATTGTTTAGGTAAATTTCTATTTTGACCAAAAGTATAATTTGTTGGATTAATGTCTAAGTCCATAACTATAATTGGTAAGACTTGACCCGACCCGGCATGGTCCATTTGGGTTGCATGGCATCATGCACTTGGATAGACTCTAATGAGAGAAATAACACTTAAGGTTGATTAATATATTATAAGTTCTAATATATTAATAGGATTATTTAATCAGTATTGATCAAGAATTAATCTAGAATTAATTAAGTGATCAAAAGAAGACTAATTAAATATATGGGTTGATTGTGTAAATCATCCATACTTGTATAGTGGGCTAGTGCTCCATGGATAATCAAGTTGGGCTAAAACCCATAGGATGGTGCATGGATGCTCCATGGTGTATTTGAACCCATGGATCCAAGGAAATGGAAGGTCATGACTATTAGGGTTTACCCTAATTGTAACAACTATACAAGATCATATTCTTTGGGAAAAACCGATCACTATGAATAATAAGAAAGGGCTAGCCGATTTTAGGAGTGTTCAAGTTTCTCTCAAGTTATTCCAAGTGTATTTGGTGTTGTGTGAACCATTTGAGGTGTCACACTTGAGGCACTAGGCACTCAAGCTTCATGAAGACATTTTACATCAAAGAGGTATGTATTCTATCTTGTTATATTCATTATTTTGTATGCTAGATTAGGATAATACCTTGGATGTTCATAATTGCATGTATAATAGATAAAACATAGATCCAAGGTATTTAGGGTTGCATGTACACTTAGGAGTGTTAGAATGCTCAAAACCCAACAGTGGTTTCAGAGCCTAGGCTTGTTTTCTTGTTATACTTGCAAAATTGGCTTAAAAAATCGAATTTTGATGCTGTCTGTTCAGCAAACTCGTCGAGTCTACTGATAGACTCGCCGAGTCTAAGGCAAAATGCATCCAACTCGCCGAGTTGGACCCCTGATATTTGATTGTTTTGGCTGGAATTGGACTAGGAACATTACCTTAAGATGTTTTTGAACTTATAAACTTATTATTAATGTGGTAATGTTCATGCTAATCCAATTTCTAAGATAATCGTCATAATTTCAAGATTTGTATTAGTTTGTATGTTCATGCTAATTTCTTGAAGATTGATGATTTGAATTATCTTGTTCTTAGATTAATAGAAAAAGTTGTGTGAAATAGTTGATTTCAATCCATTTTAATCTAAGAGTTGATTCCAAAGTGTGTTTTTGTAACTTCTCCCCAAGTTTTATGAAAAATCACATTTAAGAATCATAAAACTCATAAAAGTTGGCAAAGGTTACAAAATGAAGAGTCTAGTTCTAATTAAATGGTTTTATGACTCCATAACTTGTCCTCAAGTTATGGAGGTTCAAGAGTCTCTTCATTAAATAATAAATAAAAAAAGTGTAACCTTAATTAGTTCCATAAGTTACAATAAAAAAAAGTTATTTTTTTATTAATTAGTTTAAAGTCTTCCATAACTTGTCATCAAGTTATGGAACTTGAAGAGTTTTTAATTAAAACTACTTTAAACTCATAAGTTATGGAATTAATTAGTTTTGAATAGTTTCAAAACTTGCCCTCAAGTTTTGGAATTTGAAAAAGTTTTCTCTTATGAATACTTTAATTCTAAGTTAAGCCCTTAGAATTTTAAAGAGTTAAAATTCAACCCTGATACTTTATAATATTATAAGTTAATATATATATATATAATATATATATATATATATATATATATATATATATATATATATATGTATGTATGTATAAGAGTAAAGTCAGTCTTACCGTTAGTAGGCCTCATTCACGAAGCTGGTCTATAAGGGGGGTATAAGGTTACTGCCTATAAAATGGTAGTTTAATGGGTGTCCACTCTCACCCACCGCTTCCTTGACCGGTGGAGGGTCGTTGGCCAAACGGGTAGGACAAGGACTAGAATTCTCCCTTCATTAAAAGTATTAATGATAAATACTAAGTAACTAAACCATTTATAAATACCCAATCTTAGTTACTTAGGAAAATGTGAATAAGGTGCTAATCTATGAAATTACACTTTGCACTTTGTTTAAGTCGGTTAGTGGAGCGTGTGTGGTTAACCGGCACAGTAACTCGTATTTAACAAGGTAGGCAAACGATAACTTAATGTTTATCATAGTATCGATGGAGCGTGTGTGGTTAACCGACACATCGATTGAGGGGTAAACACTTAAGGGTACCAAGTAATTTGCATGGTTACTTCACACCTTGTTTTGTGATCCTAGGCATCCCAGTCACAAAACTTGAAGGGCACACTCGAGATTGAAACATGCCATTGAACAGTTCAATGAATCTCAAAAGAATCTAGGAGTTTCAAAACCAATTAAAACCTAATAATACATTTCGT